ATTTTTTACTTTTCCTTCTAGTAGATTTTCCATGGCTTTCTGAAAAATCGAACTGGCTGTTTTAACTCCAAATGGTAAGCGAGCCCACCTCAATAAGCCTATGGGCGAGTTTATTGTTGTAATTTCTTTGAATTTATCTATTTGGATTTGGTTGTATGTATTCTTTAAATCAATTTTAGCAAAATATTTCATTCCTGCAGAGGAATGCAATATGTTTTCTACATGACAATAGGATATGAATCTGAACAAATTTTGTGATTCACACCCATCTTGTAATCACCACAGACCCTAAAATCACCATTAGGTTTCCTTACAACGACAATAAGGGATGCACATTTACTACCTCCTGGTTCAACATATTGGAGTATTTCTTCTTGTACCATTTTGTTCAGCTTCTCAATCACCATTGGTTTTATATGTATGGGAAGCCAATGACATTGAAAATATGATGGTGTAACATTTTTTTTTTTTTAATGCTTGCTTTATAATTTTTAATGTTCCTGTTTCAAAACTTCTAACATTGACAGCATTCAGTAATTGTGTACTATCAACATTCACTAAGTCAGTACCTATTAGGCCATGACTTTTTATATAATCCACTACTATGATGGTGATTGTTTCAAATCTCTTTGCTGTTTCAAATGTCCCTTGAAAGGAACCTAACGTTTTGATACAGGTTCCATCAAATTGTTTTAGTCTTACTGGGCTTCTTCTTAACTTCAGTCTCATTAATTTTTCCCCAAAATTTCTAGGAATGAGAGTTACCTCCCTTCCTGTGTTGACTTGCATCTTTAAATTTATACCATTCAACTTTTATACTCTTGAACATATTCATTTTATTTTTCATTTCTATCACAAAAACATCCATTTGAATTTTTTTCCCGTCCTGCATTATTTCCACATTTTTAACATTGTTGCTTTGCCATTTACACATGGCTTTAAAATGATTCTTTTTTTTTCTACAATTATCACATATCTTTCCCCATGTGGGACATTTTTCACTTTTTGGCTCATATTCATAACTGCAATACTTGCATTTTGATTTTGTCTTTTCTTAATGAAACATATTGCCATCATTTCTTCTTGTTGGATATTTTTTATATTATATTTATCAATCAACTCATCCTGCTGTATAAATTCAATACACACTTCCAAATTCATATTGGATTGCAACCTCTCAAAAGCTTTAAGTCTTTGCATAGTATTGTATAATCCTTCCACCAGTCGAAGCTGAATCAATTCCTCCTCTGTAGTCATTCCTTTTTGTCCAAGTTCATTAAAGTCACAATACGTACTAGTATCTTTTAGTCTACAAAGATATTTCCTAATAGGTTCTCCAGACTCTTGTCTTAACACTAGAAATTTGGTTCTTTTCAGCAATGACCAATCTTTTTTTGGTTGGATAGTCTTTAAAATTATGTCCTTAATGTCTTTAAAGTTTCAATCTCCTCCAGGTAAGTCATTAAGGATACTTGTTTAATGGCTTTACCTCCTGCAGTGGCCATAAATAAATCCGTGATTTGTTTCTACTTCTGGTCATCCACTAATTTCTTCATTCTGGCCATTGCCTCAAAACACTTTAACCCAGATAAAGTGTTGAATATTGTGCTTGGAGTTGTGGATAAACTGTCCAAAGTTCTTATTTTGTTATTTTTGTTCAAATACTTTCGACTTTCACAGTCATCAAGAACTGATGTGGTGTCTGTGTAGTAGTTAGAATTCCTTTGTCTGCATCCTGGTATTCTTTGTGAAGCTGGATGTTTGAAATGGTCTAGCATGACATCATGTCTAGCGGCCATTGGGAACAAGGCTACACAAAAAGCAATTCATTTATTTATTAATTTAGATTTTTACTTTTATTTGACTTTTTTTTTATTATTATAATACTGATAAAATATGTTTGTACATTATATCAAGACACCTTCTCCTGTGCCGAATGATATTTTATTTAATGTCCGCTGTTTATTTTGTATGATAACACAAGTCGACATTTTTTTTACCCAAATGTTGCTGAGCAATTGGAACATGTTTCTGGGCTATTTTTTCATACTGAATCTGCAAATCAAGTCCATTTTCTCCCATTTACCTCATTTTTTCTCAGTACAGATAATTTCTATTTTGCTTAAAATAGGCCAAATTCACAGGGATATTCCATGCCTTAAATATGTGAGAGACATTGTTGAAACATTTTGTTTCATGTTAAATTGATTTAGCATTCAAGATAAAGTATCCAAATAACACAGATCAAATTTCTGTCCACATTGACCTGAACATGACTTAACACATTGTGTGCAAGTAAGATCGTTGTAATTTGGCAAACTTTGTAGTTACAGATGGGTTATACTGTGTGAAGTTTCATGTGACTGACAAGACATATTTAGGATATAGAGATGCAAGTGCATTCCAAACATGCAAATTGTGGTGTATTTTCATCAATGCCTTGTCCCTTTTGGGTTATCCGCTTGTTGTTTGTCCTTGAAATTGTGGATTATTGAAAAATCTTCACCTTAATCTGTGTGCTAGATCTCCACTTGTTTCTGTTGAGAGTGTTGACTTCCCAATTTGGATCATCCATTATGCACACCTTCTAACAGTCATGAAAGGTTTTCTTTGGTTTATGCTAAGAAAGTTCACCATACAGGATTTGTTTTGGTATCCTGTTGTCTGGCATTCAAATGACATGACCCAACCACTGAAGTCTGTGATGATATATATATATATATATATATATAATGCTATAAGAGATATAGTTAACACCAAACAAGATACCAACAACAACTGGAGAGACGCAAAATAGATTCTGAACACAATTTCAACTTAATAAATGCCAGTCTGATCAGGAGAGAAAAGGATTCACTAAGAAAAAAATGCATTGAGAGTGCACTGATCTAAAAATTCTTGACAATAAACCTAATACCAGGACCTTACATAATATCACCAATCATCATAAAAACAATAATAGCACAATGTGGCATACAAGTTGATAGAGAAAAAAAAAGGATCTATTTGGAGTAGACTGACTTAAAATTCAACACATGCTGATGGCTTTGATTAACAAAAAAAAATAAAAGAACACTTTCTGGTCTTTAGTTGTCAGATCTGAAAAGTTATTAAATTTATTTCCTGTCTTCACCTAAAAGATCCCAATGCATTTTCCTTACACACAGTTTTGGCTTTCATTGCTGTTTCTCTCTACCTCTCTTGCCTTCAGCATGTCCTGTGAGTTTCAAATTTTCCAACCTGTCTTTCCTCATTATATGTCCCTGAAATTTCAACTGTCTCTAAGTATAAATGTCCTTTTTGTTTCCATTACACTTAAACATAACAGCCACTCCTTCTGCTTACAAAGGGGGGAAAGAAAGGGCTTAATTAAATTGGTTAAGTACAATTAGTCTTTGATTGTTTATATATTTATTATATGGCATCCTGTCTCAAGAAAATTTACAAATGATTATAATTTTAAAAAATCAAAAAATTCCTATCAAAATGATATTTTCACAAATTTTGGAAATGATTTATTTTTTATTCAAAAATTAATAATGGATGATTCACAAAAAAATATTGGATTCAACATAGACATAAAAACAAGCCTAAAAGAAGTAGATTTCCTAAATGGCACATTCAACCTAAGAAAAGATACATATCAGCACCCACCAACAATATTCAAGCAGATCCTACAATCAATTAGTAGGTTATCTGACAATTCTTCCAATGAAACCATCTTCAATGAAGCCAAAAAAGATTATGAAACATCCCTAAAAGATAGTGGGTTTTTGGTAACACTCGTATACATACAGCACAAAAAAAAGCCAACAGGAAAAGAAACATATATATGTATAGGATAATGATATATATATTTTTATATATCCTGGACAATATTGCCGGGGACAGATATATGACAAAAGGGAAAAAAGTTTTCATGAAGACATGTTTTGCATATATATTATAATTATATATATATATATATATATATATATAGGTAGGTAGGTAATGAAAAGTATGGATAATCCCAAGGAGTATGTAATCCAGAGAGCTCAATGTAAAACCAGAGCGAATATTAATTTAATTAAAATTAAAAAAACAGACAATTCTTAAAGGGTCCATTGATTATATTTTTATTTCCTAGGAAAAAAAAACACTTTCTGGGGAAATAAAATATAATCAATGGACACTTACAGTTTTCTGTTTTTCAATTTTAATTAAATTTTTATATATATATATATATATATATATATATATATATATATATATTACAATGAATCATTCATACAAAAATTAAATTCCTAAAGTTAATGATATAAAGTGACAAAATCTCTTCGCTAACAAAATTTTAAAGATGAATTAGCCTACTAATTACTAGATGAATTTTTAAATGTGTTATTGATAATGAATACAAACTTTTGGAGCATGCAATCACAACACTAAGATTGAATTTTTTTTTTTTTGAAAATTTTGTGAGTTCGTTTTTTACTAATATGACTATTTGAGAATTTTTTGTTGTCGGAGTTTATCAGTCAATGTGGCATGAACTAAATAGTTCAATAAGTAAGAGTAATATCTCAGTTGTTATCCTGGATCAGTTCTTTTGTTTGCGAAGGGATTTTGCCATTTTATATCATTAACTTTACTAATTTACTTTTTGTATGAATGATTCATTGTAATATAAATTGAACTGCACCACATATTTGGTATATATATATATATATATATATATATATATATATATATATATATATATATATATATATGTATGTATGTGTGTGTTATGTATGTATGTATATTATTATTATTATCATTATTATATCTAGCCTAAGGTCAAAATCTCTTTGCCTAGATGTAGAAATAAACTGTTTAAGTAATAAATGGCTTTCTAATAAAATAAATAAGTGTGCCAAGAATACTTAAAATAGAAAAATTTTTTATTGTTGTAAGCAAAGTGTTTCCTACTTCTAATTTATTATTTATGTATTTCTTTCTTTTTTTTTCTTCTATCCCTAAAGTTTTTAGCCTTTGCAATGCAATCTGATTCAATAACCTCCTGGATGAAGGATGGCTGGTGCCAGGTGTATGATGGGGAGTTTGTCAACCATCGAATTGTGGAACCCTTACTTAGGTAAGTACAAAAAGGTGTGCAGATAGTCACAGCTACATAAAAGGTTAGGAAACAGAGAGGAGAAAGTAAGCAACTATGTTCTGAGGTGGGTTGGACCAATAGATCAAATAAATTAGTTGTTGACACTGATTTATCCAAATGAATGACAACTTTATATGGAAGGTCATTTTTCTATGTCTTTTTGTCCCCCAGAGACATTGTAAAGGAAATGCAAACATAAATTATATGAAGGACAAAATGACTTTTGTTAAGCAGGTGTCAGAAATTGCAAATGATATAAATGTCTAGTTGTTATTTATTAGCAATCCACTGTACCACTAGTCGTATATACAAGCACAAATATCAGCATGCATACAGAATCTATTTTATATATATATATATATATATATATATATATATATCAAATTTTTATAATGTGATAATATCCATCATATATAACCATATATATATATATATATATATATATATATATAGCCATATGAATATACTCTTAAGGTGTGCTATATTTATGGGATAAAGTGCTCAATATCAGAGATAGAGCATGTGTAAATATAAAAGCGAACATTGTGTCTAACATGAAACAGCCTGTTGCCTCTAAGTGTTGACTTCAATGTTCACTTTTATATATAGCCATATAAATGTATATGTAGATATAACATGATATTTGTGTGTACACTTGAATTATTTTTATAATTACTTAGATGTGTATATTTGTATTTAAATTATCCTCCTTTTGAAGTTGGAGGTATATAAGTTGTGTGGATGTGTTTTTTTTTTACATACATTTATATGTGTATATATTATTTTTTTTTTTCTTTTTACATTTATTTTTAATTATTTAACATTTTTATTAAACTAACCCTGTAAATAATATTGACTGCTCCACTATTACTATCGTCCAGTATATATATCAAAATTTAAATTATGTAATGGTCAGTTTTCAATTTGTACCTGAAGATTATGTTATATTCAGAGTTGTGCTAGGTGTGAGGAAATAAAGGACAGCCCAAGTTGTTACTTGAGTTTCATGCACACAATCTTCAGACAAATAGAACAAAATTGAAAGAAGTGGAAGTTCTAGCATTATATACCCACATATAGGGGGTTTTCATTTTTTATTATTTTTTTCCCAGTGAGAGAGTGCATTATCCATGGGGTTTTAAAAAATGTATTCCCCCTCAATGCATTAGCATAAGTGAGTATATAATGCTAAACCTCCCTACTTCTTTCAGTTGCATTCTAGTTGGCTGAAGATGGTGAGAGCCTGAAACTCAAGCAATGACTTGAGCTATCCTTTATTAAGTGTTGATCTTGTGAAGTGTTTTTTGCTCTGTCTAAATAATCTGGGTGTTGAACACTTTACTCTGCTGAGCAGATAGGTGTTTAACTTTTGTTTTTTCTTTCTTTTTTCTTTTCTTGTTCAGGATTTTTTCTTGTTTAACATGTTAGGTCTTCTAGAAAGTTATACTAACATCATTTCTATTCTAATAAGTTCTTTTCTCACCCTTCTCACCTATGGAACTCTTTTCTGATTTCTTGTTTCCCTACAATCTTCAAAACTTTAAATTCAACATGAATCGCCATCTTCTGTCTTCCTCAATCCTGTTCCTTTATTGTACTTTTCCTAACTTCTCCTCATTAAAATCTTCTCATTCTCTTTCACTCCCTATCCAATTAGAAGGTGGCTTCTTTTGTGATTGGTGGCAGTGGAGGGTCTTGTTTGCCTCTCTGCAAAGGACCCACCAACAGGACCTGATTACAAATATAGAGGTCATTGGGAAATAAAGATAAAACCTATTAAGATAAGGTGAACAGGATAAATAGTGAACTCTCTATAAATACTGAGAAAGGACATTTTTCTTTTTTTATCTGGTTTAAACAATTTTCGAAGTGTTTCAAGTTTGTCAGTTGAAAAGTACAAATGAAATCTTTTTCTTTTTTTCATATTAGCAGGTTTATAATACTTTTAAGACCTAGGAAAACTAAACCCTTTTTTAAAAAACCAAAAACAGAATATAATGAATAAACTTTCATTTGCTGTTCTACCTATTATTATATTTTATTTAATCATTTCACCCCATGCAAGCCAGGGGTTACCGAGTGCAGAAGAACAAGAAAAAAAGAGACATTAGGCAGCGAGAAGAATAGAAGAATAATCAAGACAGAAGATAACAATTGACATTGCATTTGAATTTTTGAAGATCAAATTTGGCTGGAAAGCAAGAAACTGGAAGTGAGTCCAACAAATGAGTTTGAGGAAAGAAACTGTTAGCATAGAACTTATGGTTACATCTAGCCAATTCAACTTTAAAATGATCAGACCTTGCCACCAATGTAGTACTGCACTTTCAATCATTTAATAGCAAAGAGTTCATCCAAACAGTCACCATATAAGTATTTATAGAAAAGTCACAGGGCAGCTACATTATAGGGGTGAGAAAGTGACTGAAGCCAAGATGTCAAGTCAGAACTAATAATATTGCTGATTCTTCTTTATATTTTATCAAGAATCTCTAAATATACAGTGAGGCCACTGGACAACAGATGTGACAACAGTATTCAAGGATGGACAAATGGTAGATCTATAAATATTTAAGACAGATTCTGGAGATAAAAATTGTCTAGTATAACACAATGATCCCACTTTCTTAGCAGCTGACCTAGCAATGGATTCAATATAGTCTTTCCACTTCATATCAGCTGAGAATGTTAGACCAAGGCAGCACAATGAATCAGTCTCCTGAAGGTTAGCATCAACCATGCTGATAGGAGGCAGAAAGAGGGTCTTTCAAATGCCTTATTATTTGAAATCACATGCTCAATTTGTTATACTCAGAACATTTTGAACTGAACCTTTTATTCGTCCATGAAAGTGAGGATAGATTATTCTCATTCGACTTATCTCCTAAGTATGAAAAGTGAAATGAGAATTTCAGATCAGTTAATACTCATGAGTCTCATTCACATTTGTGACATTTGTCCTTTGAACCAGAGTATAAGACTTTTCAGCACTACTAAACCCAGGGATTGAACTCATATCTATCAGGGCATCAGCTGTTTTAACCAATGTTTTTTTTAATTACAAGCCATAAAACCTTAAACCTAATGCCTTGCTCAGGTGGTAGAATTGTATGAGACTTAAGGCTCAAAAAATGACACCAGTGGACTGTCCAATATATATATATATATATATATATATATATATATATATATATATATATATATATATATATATAAAACCTCTTACCAGTTTGTGACTGGAAGGGATAATTTCAAGGAGGATTTTGATCTGAAGAGGTAACCACCTCAGTGTTCATGAAATAAATTATAATCGAAATGGATAATTAAAGTCTCCGTCTTCTTATTATCATTATATATATATATATATATATATATATATATATATATATATATATATAATTAATAGATTTATTTTAAATCCAACATTACTTCAAAAATTATTATAGTAGATACTCGTATCTGAGGTGTCTATTTCTAATGCTATAATTTTGAAGTTTCATGTAATATGAGGTAATGATATATAAATTTTTATATATCAAGAATAATAACTTAATAAGACTAAGTTTGTTATGTTGATGTGTCTACAAATGAAATCAGTTAGATTATATTGTATAAAAAAAATTCATAATTCCTATTAATATCTGATATTGTATAAAAATATTCATAATTCCTATTAATATCTGGTATTGTATAAAGAAATTCGTAATCATTGACTCTATCGTGAAATAAAAAGGCAATTTCTTAAGAGTTTAATAGCCCACTATTTCCATTTCTTTTTTGACCTCCTTTCTGTGTTCATTGTGTGTTTGTTCACATTTCAGATAATCATTTAACAAAGTAATGAGGTCAACTTTTTCATTTAAGAAACAAGAATAGAAACAGGAATTTTTTGTTAGAACTATTTTGACAAACAATAAATATGTTGTATGTTTTAAGGGATTGTGTTCAGAATCAGAATTAATGTTCACTCTTCATGTCTTTTATGCATGTTATTTTAACTCTTACATAATGTTCAACATTAATATTGGTAAAACTCATACTTAACATTAGGAAGAGGCAGTTGAGTTTTCTGGAGCACGTAATGAGGAAGGAGGGCTTGGAAAATATGATGCTCATGGGTCAGATTGTGGGAAAGAGAGACAGAGGAAAGCAGCACATACTATACTTGATGAGTTTGCGCAGATTGATGGCAGAACAAGTTTTGGGAGAAATACGAAAAAGATGAAACTTATTAAGAGCTACAAGGGACAGGAAGATGTGGAGGGCCATGATGGCCTATGTACTTTTTATTTTCAAGGAAACTTCTCAGAAAAAAAAATTAAATTCTAAGAAAACAACCATTCAGAAATGTGAAACTGATTTGCTGCAGACTCTGAAAATTCATACAAATTATAATTCTAAAAATTCCTTTCAAATCGTAAGAAATCAAGATTAAATCTTAGTTGTGAAGCGTGCTATCTTGTTATTTTCAAAATAATTTAAAAGAACTGCTATAAGAAAATTTGGAGAGCTTGACATATATGAAACTTTGACATTATTCATTCCTTTTTGCAATCAGTTCATGGCTATATATAATCACACAAATCAATCCATGACAACAAAAAAGTAAAAAATGAAGGACATTAGAAACAAAAGCTTCTATCAAGTTTCTATTTATTTGTGGTAAAAATTTTGGCAAACTTGGTCCTTTGGAGTGTGACTACTATTATTTTAATTACCATCACTCCTCAGCAAGGTTTATTTTAAAAGCAATAATGAAAGTTAATTTATACATTTTCTTTGTTCTTGAGAATTGACAACAAAAATAATAAACACTATTTATTTATTAGATTGTTTATTGTATACTATTTATTATATTGTTTATTGCAATGGTTGGCAAAACATTGTCTAATTGCCAATTGATCTGAACTTTATAAAATGGTAAATAATAAGGATTTAGTTAAATTCACAGATGAATGACAATTGGAAAAAAAAAATCT